ACAGGGAGGAAAGGTGGGGGCGTAGCGCTGTACATTAAGGAGGAACACACATCCTCGTCAATTAACAAAGAGTCAGAGGAAGGGCACTCTGAAGCGCCCTGGGTTAGAATACAAGGCAGTCGAGGGGAAAGAGACTTAACGGTGGGGGTCTACTACAGGCCACCCAACCAAGGGGAAGAGCTAGACCGGGAATTCTTAAGTCAGCTCACAGAGGTAGTTAGGTCAAAGGACGTGGACATCATGGGTGACCTGAACTTTCCAGACACCTGCTGGGAAGAGCAGTCAGCCAGGTCTGACCGCTCATGTAGGTTCCTAGCCAGAATGCAGTACCTCCATCTAACCCAGAAAGCACACAGCTCCACCAGGGGAGATGCCTTTTTGCACCTGGTGCTGGCCACCAGCGACGACCGGGTGAGGGGGCTGCGGGTGCTTGACCACCTGGGAGACAATGATCATCGCCTGCTGGAATTCACCATCCAGTGCAAGGTGGCAAAGGCCAACAGCAAGACAGCAGTCCTAGATTTCAGGAGGGCAGACTTCGATGAGCTAAGGAGAATAGTCGGGGAAGCACTGAGGTCCCAGAGGGGAGGGGAGGGGAGCCAGGTGTCCAAGAAGAGTGGTTGTTCCTTAAGGAGACCATCTTCCAAGCCCAAAGGGAGGTAATCCCGACACGGATCAAAGACGGCAGGAAGGCGGAAAAGACCCCATGGCTCACCAAAAGCATCCGGGAGTGTCTCCTAGCTAAAAGGGAGGAATACACCCAATGGAAAGGAGGAGCCATCACCAGGGAGGATTATACTGCGGTTGCTTGGGGATGCAGGGAGGCAGACAGGAAGGCCAAGGCAGAGGTGGAACTGGGACTAGCTTCCCAGATCAAGGACAACAACATAGGGGGCAAAAAGAAGGTTCCAGGTAACATGGGGCCCCTGCAAGACACACTAGGAAATTTGGTCGTCACACCAGACGACAAAGCAAACATATTTAACGAATTCTTTGCCTCCATTTTCCTAATCAGGGACCAGAAAAGCCACCCCCCCTCTGGGCCCGCCTCAGACCCCAGGGGAGGCGCACCTAGGCCAAGGGTTAGTGAGGAACTAATTAGGGAACTTCGGGAGGGACTGGATGTATTCAAATCAGCTAGTCCGGACAGTCTCCACCCTAGAGTACTGAAGGAATTAGCTGAGGTCATTGCGGGACCCCTGGCACAGCTGTACGAGCACTCGTGGTGCTCCGGTGTGGTGCCAGAGGACTGGAAAAGGGCCAATGTGGTTCCCATCTTCAAAAAGGGGAGGAAGGAGGACCCGGGGAACTATAGGCCAGTTAGTCTTACCTCAATCCTGGGTAAGCTTTTTGAGAGAATCATTCTGGCACATGTCCATGAGAGGCCAGCAGTGGAGATTACACTTAGGGGCAACCAACACAGGTTCATTAGAGGCAGGTCCTGTCAGACCAACCTGG